GAATCCACCGGGCCTGGATAAAAACAACCAATCAGAGCTGACAAAGATAGAAAGACATTTTGGGTTACAGGCTTGAAGACAGTTGATTGTTGTCTTATTCCCAGCATCGGTATTTGACAATCTGGGAATTAGCTTCCACAATAAACTATCTTTGTCTGTGGCCAATGTCAGTGTCAGCGTGTCAAATACAGACACTTTGGGATCCTGAAAATGAGACTCAACAATTAATCTTTCTTGGCTCTGATTGGTTGTTTTTGTTCAGTCCCGGTGGATTGCAAATGCCATTATTAGCACTAGGAGGAAAGTTTTAGAAAATTTCTTTCTTTTTTTTTTTTTTTTTTTTAATTAGCTACCGCAGCTTTAAATCTCTAAAGCGTGCAAAAACTGGAATATAAATATAGTCACCAAAGTCCAGAAAACTGGCACACAGACATGATAAAAAAATGGAAATATTCTATTTAATATACCATTTGCATATGGTGGGCTTCCACAGGAATAAGCTGATGAATCTTGAAAGATGGTGGTAAAATGACACGAGCTCAGTTACCTTGTAACAGAACATTCAGACATTCAGAGTACCCTGATTTGGTGAAGCTTTGGGTCATTTAAATGATTAATATGAATTGTAACATTGGCAGGTATATTGAAGAGGATGGGTTAGCAAGTTTCAGCAATAGTTTGAGCTAGTAATCATGTTACACTCTTGGCCACAGATAGCCCAAGCAGGGTTTTCATTGGTTGTCAAAGGCAAAACACCAGCTGTGCTCTCACTGAAACACACCAGGTGTTTTAAGTGTCTAGACAATGCTGCCCTATGTGAATCTGTATTTGGAGCCTCAAAGAAAGCTCCCTTGTAATGTACCTGTCTATATGTTTCCCTGACGCATCTTTTCTCCCTTTGTTCTCCAGTTGATATCCTCCTCTTCGCTGTGCCTCCGATCTACGAGAGGAACAAGGTGAGTCAGTCCCAGGTCGTGACCCTCCCTGAGAGCAGGGATGACATCAGTTGTCAGAAAAATACTCGTCAGCAGTGAGCTCACTGGATGACTCTCTCATCACACACTGAGAGCTTTCTGTGCCCCTCTTGTTGCTGTCCAGTGCCCAGCTGCTCAATATGAAGTCATTCCACTGTCTGGGCAAATCGGGGGGTTATCATGTTGATGCTCTTGATGCCAAATGGGAACTTTAATGAGTTTAGGAGATTATACTCATCAACTGTCTGGCGCAGGCTTTGTGAAGTTTAGTTTTGTTCATTTGCAGAGTCTCTTAATGGTCACAGTAATGGTTCCTCCTAGCTGCTTTGTTTTTTATAGTTAACGTTTGGACTAATGTTCTCATCGTGACTGTTTTTATGCTTTGATACTCAAGTTTCAAATGTTAACCTCAACAATGAGGTCGGTGGAAATTAGAAATCAGGTGCATTACACCAAAAAATATCTGATCATAACTGAAACTTCTGACTTGCACCGCCACGTAAAGGTTCAGATACACAGCTGGTCAGTTGGTTTTACCGTCCATCCGTCCAGCCATCCATCCATTTTCTGCCGCTTATCTGGATCCATATCATGGTGGTAGCAAGCTAAGCAAAGTAGCCCAGCAGACGCACCTCTTGCTAGCTCTCAACCACTCTCTCTGGATGATCTCTCTTCTGGGTTTGCCCTGGCATCTCCTCCCAGTTGGATGTGTCCATAATACTTCCACAGTGAGCCCGGACCACTTCGTTCAGTGTGATGGAGGAGTGGTTTCACTCGTAGCTCCTTGTTAATGTCCAAGTTCCTTGTCCTGTTCCTTGTCCTGTTCCTTAAACACAGGGTCTGCCTGAAACAATGTGTCATCCCACCTTGTTTATACTTGTTCCTAGTGGCCACTCTTCTTAGCAGTACCTTACCCTTGCCCATGAACAAGATCAGAACAGAGATGCTTTAAGAGCTTCAACTTGTTTCCAACACCCCAGTGCATGCTGGACTACACATGTTGATAGAACCAGCAATTTGATTTGATTAGAGTACACCACACTCAATATATCACAGCTGAATTGGCGGCAAGAGCCCAGCACTCACTGAGAACGTTCTTGACCCAACTCAAAATGAAGCTTTGCTTGTTTTAAGTAATACAAATTATTTTTCAAGTGCTCACCCACTCGGTCATCCTCTCTCCTTCCAGACCCAGATTGATCAGTACATCGACCTTGTGCGTACTCAAGTCAACACCACGATGGCCAAGTAAGTGAATCTGATCATCTATAAAGAGTGTGATCATCTTACAGCCACTATGTTTACATGCACAAAATATTTTACTTTTTGCATTATTCTGAAAAAGACAATATTCATACTAAGCTGTTTACATGGCTACTGAAAATGAATATTCGGGGCACCCTCGTAGCTCACTTGGTAGAGGTGGGTTAGAATCCAACCTGTGGCCCTTTGTTGTCCATCTCTCAAACTGTCCCCTCTAAAGGGAAAACAGCCCCCCAAAATCATGCATATCCAAAAACCTGTTTATATCCTTTCATAATGTTTAACAGTAGGTGTGTTTCTCCTTCTGACTGGTAATGTGGACTTTTTGTGCTTACATCTCTCCAGCCTCTCAAACTGCTGGTTTGTTTACAACGCACAGAACTCACTGTAAACAGGCAAACTGCATTGAAAACCCCAAATGAGACGCATATTCTGAAT